GCTGCTATACTGTAATTTTATTTTGCTATGCTGTGCAAATGATGAGATTTTACTTTTGTAAAATTCTGGAGATTGGAAAATTGCAGAATGTAAGTATTAGAAGGGAAAACATATCAGGGAATGGGATTTGGTAATAAAACTGGTAATTGTCTGCAATAATTGACACTGAAAATTTCGAAATTTTGGAAAAATGGTTGAATTGGTAACTGAAGGAAATTTATCGGCAAAACGCAAGAACAAACAAAGTAATTCAATGAAATATTTGTGAAATAATAAAATTGGCGTAATCTACCTAACAATAGGGAAACGCTAACAACACCGGACAAAACAAGCAGTCGTCACCTCGTGCGCAAGCTGTAGGGTACGGAATAAATAAATTTTTACTGCATTGATGCACCAACCGGCCTGCGAAGCATCTCACATCAGCGGCGGAGCAAAACCGAAAGAAAATGTCAATAAATTCGCATATCAGGGGCATTCTTAGTGGAAATGACAACATCAGTAAAATATGTATCGGGCAAATGCATAAATTTGTTGTAATTCAAAACCGGAAATGACAATTACAATGACGCGAAACGAATTCATGCCTATGCGAAGAAATTTAATTATACCACCATGAATTCGCAAGGTAAATCTCATGAAACGTGTCACTGACTCACTCGGTATTTCACTACTATAATAAATGAATAATAAAAGCTAAAACATGTGCTTATACAAATGCAAAATTGCGCGAATGTTATCAATTCGTGCATCAAAACACGATGTTTGCTGTCGAAATGTGCGCACGGGTGCATTCCACACGGCGAACGGGTTAAACAATAATTGCTGGGAAACAAAACCGATAAGCGCTGGCCAGTCACAAGATTGAACACAATGCCAGGGGCTGGCAATATCGGTGCCGTTGTGAAAAGGTTTGATTATAACTGGAATTTAATGTGTAAAAAGATGCAAAACGTGTTCATATGAATTTCGTATTAATTTCTATGTTTTAAGACTGCATTGTTTGGTAACAGAGCTGGACATAATGGCGGCGGGCCATGATGCACCTGTGCCGCAAACATTACGCACGCATTTAACGCGACGTTATAACGGTTACTGACAGACGCTTAGAATGGAAAATCAAATCAATTAAATTTTTATCATTCTTAACTTTAAATGAAAATCCGTGTTATTTACGCCGAAAATAATACAGTACTTACCAATTGTTATTTTGGCTGACGGCAATTTCAAAACAGGTAACATAGTCAAAGGGATATACTTACGCAAAATAATAAATGTCAATACTAAAAGCTTTTCAAAATTAAAATGTTTAAAATTAAATAACAGTCAATTGGATGATCGAATGGCAATACGAAAGTGCAGTTCGGACAAACAATGAGTCGCGCAAAATAATGTCTGGATCATCAGCGACGGGCACAAAATTTCATGTGTTGCATACAAATGACGATGTGCGGTGTCTATGATGTGCCGGCATGAACAGCATCTTTGGCGCGAATTTCGCATTTTGGCTGTTTTAATTTTGGGACAAAATTCCGCGATGCAGCAACATGCGGCGTGGAGTGCTAAAATGCATAATACTTGCAATGATACAGTGTATATTATGTTCAAACAAAACACAATTTTGTGTTTAGCTGTTCACGCTTGCTGGATAAATATAGAAAATAAATAATACAAGTTTTATTTTACAATTTTAATCTGGCGTGGTGGCTGAATTACGAGCATAAAATGATAATGCAGTTCTGAAGTTTTAGTGCAATAAAATCGATTGCAATTCTGATTTTTATGCTGGGACAGATTGCCAGATTTGCTGTGATTTTACATAAATATTTATGATATTTAATTTTGAAATATTTTAATGTTTTCGTTTGGTAACATATTGGTTCGTAATCATCTGGCTGATAATAAAAATGTATTTGAATTAATATAAATGGTTAATATATTCATGAAAGAAATTGAAATAAATATTTTACTTTAGATTTACGATGCTAATATAATAAAATGAAGCAATGGTGTGTTTTGGATTTTAATGAAATAAAGAATGATAACTGCAGGTAAAATAAATTTATTCTTTGCATGAAACGGTGATCTACTAATGGACATTTGGTGTGCACTCACACTTCACTTCAATGCTACTATTTTAATGCAAAACGGCACATCGTGGAAGTATCTAAATCTTGGAAAGTTTATTAATCAACTTACTAAAACACGTTTTATCAACATGCAAACAAAAATGATGCCAATTGTATTATCTGGAAATGAGGTAAATAAAATACAGGCAGATACAGAATTAAATTCCGCATCAGGGAAAATGATTTCTTGCTATTGTGATACCGTTCGGAGCGTTATATTCAATCATTTCATTTTATTCAATCGCGAATATCCTCGTAAACTAAAAGAGATACCAAGATCTGATCGCAGCGTCTTAATCTACGGACCAATCTCTATCAGATAGATAAGCCGCTAGTGTGGTGTGAAATCTGAGAGAAGAAATTTTCATTCTTAAGAAAAATTGCCAAGGGGTGCTGATACTTTTTCGACGATTTTCAAAAATTCATATCTCTTAAACTAAAAGCAGATTGCTACCAACAAAATTGTTGATTATGAAAGATTGAAGATTCTCTATCAGATAAAATATAAACAATTATATTTCCTACAGTAAAAGTCGAAAAACGCGACTAAAAGTGCTAAAAAGTGACATTTTGCAATTTTGCCCATTTTATTCAACTGCGCATATCCGTAAACTAAAAAGAGATAATTAAGATCTCGCTCGCAGCGTCTTTAATCTACGGACCAACCTCTATCAGATAGGATAGCGCGGGGGCGGGAAATCTGAGAGATGAAATTTTCATTCCAGAAAAATTGCCATAAAGGGTGCTTGATACTTTTTCGACGATTTTCAAAAATTCATATCTCTTAAACTAAAGCAGATTGCTACCAACGAATTGTTGATTATGAAAGATTGGAAGATTCCTCTATCAAAGATAAAAATATGTTCAACACTCATATTTCCTACAGTAAAAGTCGAAAACGCGACTAAAAGTGCTAAAAGTGACATTTTGCAATTTTTGCCAATTTTATTCAATTGCGCATATCTCGTAAACTAAAAGAGATAAGATCTGGATCGCAGCGTCTTAATCTACGGACCAATCTCTACTGATAGGATAGTTACAAGGGAAATCTGAGATATTTGAAATTTCATTCTTAAGAAAATTTACGGCGTGGTGCGCTTTGATAATTTTTTTCGACGATTTTCAAAAAATTCATATCTCTTAAACTAAAGCAGATTGCTCTCAACGAATTGTTGATTATGAAAAAGATTGGAAGATTCTCTATCAGATAAAAAAATATAAAACAATTATATTTCCTACAGTAAAAGTTTCCTTCGAAAAACGCGACTAAAAGTGCTGCCAGTGCTTTTACATTTTGCAATTTTGCCCATTTTATTCAATTGCGCTTATCTCGTAAACTAAAAAGAGATAATTACATCTTCGCTCGCAGCGTCTTAATCTACGGACCAATCTCTATCAGATAGATAGTTACAAGGAAATCTGAGAGATGAAATTTTCATTCTTAAGGAAAAAATTGCCATAGTGCTTGATACTTTTTCGACGATTTTCAAAAATTCATATATCTTAAAACTAAAAAAGAGATGTATTAGCAAACGAATTGTTGATTATGAAAGATTGGAAAATTTCTCCATCAGATAAGCTGCGTTTCACATGCCGCGAGTTTCTACAGTAAATCATAAATCGTATCGTATAAGCGCTTTCCCCTTGCAACAATTAAATACAACCGGATAAACAATTTACCCCTGCATATTTGGACCCCACGGGCCAGTTTGTAAAGACGTTACCCCAATATAAAACAATTTAAATTATTTAATGCCTTCACGCTTTTAGTAGAGGGCGGTGGACCGTGATAAAGAAAAACACGTAAATGCAAAAACAATTGCCGACGCAGAAAATAAAATGAAATATATGAATTGATACGGAATATAAACTACCAACAGAATTCCATCAGGACTCTGCTACAAGTACGGCAAATACTGTGAATAAAAAAGAAACATAAGTATTCACACAGCGGAGAAAACAAACAATTCAGCTGTTTAGTTAAAAGTTATTTACAGTGCAGCAATGATGTAATATTGGTCATCCAAATGATGAATAAATCAAAATGGTCGCGATACACTTACGCGCAAATAATAAATAAATAACTGTACTCAAAAGCTACTAAAGTCAATTTAAATAGTCAGATTTCGATGATCGAATATATAATACTGAATTGGAAAAGTAGAAGTCCGAATAAAACAAAACGAGTCGTGCACAAAATATTCGGATCAACTAGAGACCGACAATAAACGGACCGCAAACCGTGCATAGTTAAACGACGAGGCAGTTTTATGATAAGAAAACAAGAGTGGTGCGCAAGCCGGCGTGTCGCTGGCGCATCAGCGACCTTGGTGCGCGAATTGCATTTGGCAAGCAACGAAATAAAGATCTCGATACCTGCAGGTAAACAAACTTCTATTCTATGCAGCGAAAATCGCGTGATCCACACGGACACGGTGTGCACCTCACTACCACCAACAAGCAATATTTAATGCAAAACCATACATCGTAGCGCCATCTAACCTTTGAAAGTATTTATCAACTTAAAAACGTACGACAATTTCCGAAAACTTCCGAAAACTTACAAAGCGTTTTATAACATTTTGAAAATTCGAATTACAAGTAATTTTTAAAGAGTAGAATAATGCGTATTGTAGGGAGTTTTTAAAAACTCTATTATTTACAATAATAAAAGTAAAAGTTGTATAATTCGTGTTTGCTTCTTCAATAAACAAGCTCTTCTAATATAATTCAAAGTCCATAGCCAACCTAAACACAAAATCCAAGAAATTCCATAAATCCACAAATTCACAAACACCAAACATCTAATCTGTGTAAATAAATCATTATCGTGCAACGGTTTGCTGCTGTGCGCACTACCACCACCGAACAATGAATCCCAGCAGCTGTAAGTGTAATAATCTACCTACATACATTCTAAACATAGGTTAAAACGATCAGTAAACAGCATGTCTCGTGCTGCTACCGACATCGTCAACTAATCATTAATTATTCAAGCAATTGCGCGAAGCCCAGTGTCGTCGTCCGCTGCTCGCTCAATACGCACGCAACGCGCTAAGCGTCCTGAGGCAAATCAAACACAATGGCAAAGCGCGAATGGCATCGAGCCGAAAACTCCTTTTCTCATTGGCGTCGCAGGCGGCACCGCCAGTGGCAAGGTATACTAATACTAATCAATAACTAAGTCTTGACAATTAACTAACTATAATTATCATTCATCCAGAGTACAGTATGCAAACGCATCATGGAAAAACTGGGCCAGGTGGATGTGGATCAAACACAAAGACAGGTTGTGTGCATTGCACAGGACAGCTCTGGAAGCAGGGCTTTAACACAGGCTGAAATGGTGAAGGCTGAGAAAGGTGAATTCAATTTTGATCATCCAGATGCTTTCGATGAGGCACTGATGAAACGCACGCTGGTTGCGATTCTTGCTGGGAAAAAAAGTGTGAGACCGCAGGACTTCAAACATCACCTCCTCGGTGAAGCAAATTTTTCTGTAAATATCTATGAAAATATATTAATATTGATGTATTTGTAGTTGCCTGACAAGATTCCCTTTTGACGATATATCCAGCTGATGTAGTGCTTTTCGAAGGAATTCTCGTGTTTTACTTCCAAGAAATACGCAAAATGTTTCATATGAAACTCTTTGCTGATACTCGATTCTGAATACGGCATGGCTCGAAGAGGCGCCAAGGATATTGCTGAACGCGGACGTGATTTGACTGGCACTCGCGAAATACGAATTATGTGAAGCCAGCATTTGAAGAGTTTTGTTCTCCTGTAAGTAAAATCTTAAAAACACAAATTAACCTAAAAATATTTGAAATTTTATTTGTTTATAGACGAAAAAGTTTGCGGATGTGATTATTCCACGTGGAGCTGATAATACCGGTAAGTGATGATTATTATTCTAACTATTTTTCTCTCTTATAAACAAAATGGCCACCAGTTTCGTTTTCAAATCTCCTGTGGTGTCACTCGTATAAATAAAACATTATCTCTTGCGTTTTTATGTTTGCTGATGAAACAATACGTGGTGAAATTCAGCCGTAATGTTTTTATGTTGCAGTGGCTATAGATCTAATTGTCCATCACATCTGGGACATTTTGCACGGGGATCCGCACGCGGCGGCCATGTCGGCGTCGAACGGCCACCAGCGGCAGCAGTTCGAGAACGGATTCGCGAAGAAATCCAATCGCGCTCACTGAAAATACCGCAGATACACATACAAAAACACATAAAATACCACCTTCCCAATGCGTTTATTAATATTATTAATAATATTAGTATTACTACTTATATTTTCACGGTGTTAGGTAGTTTTAATTCAATTCTCCGCGAAATTCCAATGATTTCCTCTGAAAAACTGCTTTTTTTTTGTAAATTTTTGAAAGTATTAGCATTTAAGTATCTTAATAACTACTTATGTTGGTTTTAAACAAAGTCACATATACAAGACTTGTCAAAAATGCTAGTTTTAAAGGGTGGACGTGAAAATGCATGTGGTGTGAACCTTACTACTTAAGATATAATTGAATATACTTAAAATGTCGTCGTGACTGCCTCCCAGTATACAAATCGAGAACTAAATGTAATTCAAAGCCGAACGTGATGAAAATTGGTATGAACACGCACAAATATTTTCATAGATCTGATTTTGACGACAAATGTCAGAATATCCCTGCATTCAAACTGAATTATCAAACAAACGGAAACAATGTATGCACAAAAGTGTTCAATACGACCCAGAAAAGCATGAAATATTCATTATTATTGATAAGTATTATAAACAATTAAGTTTTGTATCAATATACACATGAAACGCATTGAAAAAGTGTGGAATTTGTATTAAAACGTTTGTTTTGTGTCTTTTTTATGTTCACAGTTGCAATTGATTTGATTGTGCAGCATATTCGTGATTTTTTGAACAATCGCCATCATCTCAACGAGCGGAGACTGTCGATGATTGCTGCAATACCATCATCCATGCCGGGGACGGCAAGCAGCAGCCAGAATTCAACTCCGACGCACAAACGTACCGCTGCAGATGCGTTCAAACGCCCGCACTAAATTTCTCTTTTATTTTATTTTATTTTAGCGCTTAATTATCCTCAACTTAGGTTTGAGTTACATGTGTTCGTTTCAAGTAGTCGCCGAGTTTGTTTTTAAACCAAAGATCAAAGATGTTGCGAGCAATAATTACCAAAGTACGATATTTTTCAGTTTGCTGAGCTATTTTGAGCGTTTTTTTAAGTTGTTTAGCGTGTAATGCCTTAGAATAGTAATTTTATGTGTACGTTGAGTTTTTATATTATATCATCTCGTTTTTTTACATGTTTCTATTATAATAACGCGTTTATCGATCAAATATATTTCAATGATGTTATAATTCACATGTGGTGAAATTATTTTGTTGGAAATGTAGAAATATAAGTTATGTTACCTGCAGTACAGCTGCATGTGAGGAGGGTTGCTCATCAATGGAAGTTATGCAGCCAGTGTTGCTGGTGAAGTTAAAACATTATTTTATTAGAAAAACTTAAATTAATCTCTGGAAATACACTGCCTATTGATAGTAGAGCTCCAAATTCATGCCATCATGGATTTCATCTGGAAACAAATGATAAATTACTTAATATTTGTTGATATGTGGAACTACATACAATCTTGTAGCTGAATATGATCCTTAAATGTGGTGTACCACTTCTTCAGGATGATTTTATCCCATTTTGTGCCGGTTTGTGCGGCAATTAGCTTCTTTAGATCAGCGACTGTATCATCAGGGTTGCATTTCACGCGGACTTTCTTTCCCAGACGATCGTTACATGTTATCTCCAGCATTTTGTGTTGCTACAAACATATTACAAGAATTAATACCAAAATAAATGAGAATTTTGTAGGTTATTTTAAAATTATTATAATTAAACACATAATTACTCCTGTTAAATATATTACCTTGGTTGGTGTACTGATAAGACAAGCTATAGATTAAAGTATGATGTATTGTTATCAGTAAATACTTTAGTTGAAGGGTTTTGTTTGTTAATTTCACTACGAGTCGATATGAATTGCAAAACGAGTGCAAACAGCAGTTTAACATAGGCAACCCACATTACACTTCATACAATTTCTTTCAAAAAATAAGATTTTAACGAAAATACGTGTGTTTTAACATGTTTACAGCTTATTACATCATAAAATATTATTATATCATTTATAAATTAGCTTAAAAACATATTATTATTGTATATAATAAATGATATTCTGTTTTTGTTATCAATAAACGCCAGCTGTTCTAGACATGCGCTAAAAACATGAAATCAGTCTCTCAAAACATTCGCACCGTTCTGGACATTCATTTATAGCCTCAAAATTTGACGTATACTCTTTTTCTATGCATTTACTGTTATAATATATTATTTCATAGATGAAAACAGTCCGTAGTTAATGTTATGGAAGTAAAGAAACCCTCAGTTCGATGGCGGCCATCACCAATCATGAGCGAGATAATCTTGAGGGTTGTCATCTGGTCATCCTTCATGTAAGTTCAATTTACTCGCAAACTAATTGAGATAAATTCACCATTCTTTTTTTCATTTAATAGCCAGAAAGTTGTTTTATATCTGGTGAAATTTTCATAAAGATACACCGAACCGTTTGTGTAATATTCAAGTTTTAAAAACATGTTCAATATTTTTCAGTTTAATGGAACTGCTAACGCCATTTGTCCGCGTAATTCAACCCGAAGACATGCACCAATACAAATACCCGCACACGGGCTTCCAATACGTGCCTGCGAGCCTCCTCTGGGTGGTTTCCGTGATCATTCCCATCGCAATACTCTTGCTCGACTGCCTAAACACACGAAACAGACTTTATTTTCGCCAGGGCATGTTATGCCTGACTTTACTGCTCGGTTTAAACGGATTTCTAACTGTTTTGCTTAAAATAATCGTTGGACGTCCACGACCTGATTACTACTTTCGTTGTTGGCCGGATGGCACAACCGATTTGACTGCCGCATGCACAGGAGACAAGAAAAGCATCATCGAAGGGCGCAAAAGTTTTCCAAGCGGACATGCGAGTTTCTCATTCGCAAGCATGATGTTTCTATGTTTTTATCTTGCTGGACGACTACAGACGTTTGATAAATACAGAGGACAAACATGGCGATTAACTGCGACAGGTTTTCCATTGATTATCGCTATCTTGATTGCTGTAAGTCGCACTTGCGATTATCATCATCATTGGGAAGGTAATAGTTGACGTGTACAACTGGTTGCATATCTTAAACTTGCAAATGTTGATAGATATTTAATTTTTAATATTTATTTTCAGATGTGGTTTGCGGCGGATTGATTGGAATATGGTTGGCTTATGTTTGTTATTATCAATATTTCCCCACGTCCAGGACGAGTACAACTCACGTATCCACCGGCATTGATTGAAAATGTTAATTGCTTTAAAAGTAGCTTAATCACAATTTATCTGCACTAAAAACACTTTTAAAACGCGAGCAATGAATGTACTATACTTGTATTATGGTAATTTATTTATGGTAATCTTAAGTTGGATGAAAATATATATTTATCGATGTTATAATGACATTTTATACGAATAACGATGAGGCATCATATAACTTTCTCAGAAATGATTTCAAGCATAACTTAATCTTGTTGCAGTCGATAAAGGTGTTTAGAATGCAGTTTCATTCATTTCTTATTTACTTTTTGATAAACAATGCGTCTCTTAACGTTCATGGAATGTTCATTCGCGATAAAACCGCGTGAAACACCGTTAAAAGCGCAAGAAAACGTAGTTTAATTGGTCTAACCTGTATTTATCTAAAAATCATAGCCAAAAATCATACTTTCATACAAAAATGTTACCAAAACGCTTAGAAATCACACAGTGCAGTTTAATATTATCAGTATTATTGTTAACTTTAGTACAAATCTCATTCCAACAACATATTTTTGAGGAAACGTGTGAATATAAGGTTAAGATAAATAATAACACAGAAAGTTTAAGATTTGCGTCGTAAGGAATCAAAAAATACTTATTTCTTGAGTTTTTATTAATAAATCAATGTTTTTAGGCAAGTGCACAACATCACAAGCAGGTTCTATGATGTTTTTATTAATTTCTGTAAGCCACTTCAGAATTTCATGCCAATTTGTGATGGATCATCACAAGTTTGCATTATCAAGAAGCAAAACAAGAGAAATATGTTGAAAAAACCAGTTGTTATGTTTCAATCAGATGTTGAAATCAATAATATAACTAAAGAGCAAACAATTTTCATGAAAACAAATAGTTTGGGTCCTTGTCAAGATGGGAATTATCAGTTTACAGTTAGAATTGACAAAACAATTGTGAGTGTTTATCTTTTATTGAAAAATTTATACATTTTCAACGTTTTTGTTGCAGAATGTGAATGAAATATCATATGTTGATGATTGTTTGATGGAAATTAAGTTTACTCATCCAGATATTCTCCTTCGTGATGCTGCATTCTCTTTTCATGGACTGATTATTGATTTAACACCTTTAAAATTAATCCCTCAACAAATTTTGACAGTAAACAATAGCAGAATAGCACTGGCAGCCTTCCATCCAGCTGAATCATGCAGAAGTTCAAGTAGAATCTGTGAAATTACACAAAAAGATAAAGTTATTCCGATTGCTGATGTTCAACACGTCCTCTATGATGATACGAAGAATCAAATCACAATTCGTGGGCGTAAATCGTCTGGGAAAGGTTTATAATTGCATTAAACAACATTGTTGATAATTAAAACTGTTTGTTTATAGGAAAAATCAAGAGTGAGATATTGCTGCGGTGTAATTGGAGCGCCATCTTTGAGAATCCACGCAAACAACTTGCAAATTACAAATATACAATTGATTCAAAGTTTGGATGTGTAAAAACACCACTCAACTGCACGGTAAGCTAATTTTCTTGTTTTTTATTTATAAAACACAATATTAAGATGTTTTTGTTAATTCTAGATTGTTGATATTCAAAATTACAAATATGATTTATCATCACTCGATAATCCACTAGGTTGGATTGTAAAAAACACATCAAACACTGAAACCATGAAAATGAACATCTGCGGAGTGTTAAAACATTTTGAAAGGTCAGAATGTTCAGAAACTTATTCACAAGTCTGCTCACAACAAAATGGCGCTGGTGGCCATTTTGTAAACTATGGATCACTACACAATGGTCTAAAAATGAATGGAGAAGATATTATTCTTACTTATTCACATGGATCACAATGTTTAACGAATTCAGATGAATATTTATCAACTTCAATAACATTTCAATGCTTTTCTGAAGAATTCGGACCTGTTTTAAGTTCTTTTGCGAATTGCACAGCTAAAATCAACTGGAAAACGCCGGCTGCTTGTACTAAAGGTTTATCTGATGATTCTAGTTTTAGTTATGCTAGAATCATCAAAGATGTGAGACAAACTAAAGAATTATCATGTAGTTTGTATCATAATGGACAAATGTTTCGATTTGGACGCTTGATATCAAACAATATGACTTTTGAGAGTAGATTGGTGAAAAATCGACGATATTTTGTGAATATTTGCCAACCGATTGCGATTACAAGAGAAAATTTCTATTGTGGCGTGACTGGTGCATGTATAGATGAACAAAATGAGATTGATTTGAAAAACGGTAAGGTTTTCCATCAAAACCATGAAAATAAGTTGTATTTATGTATTTTTTATGTATTTTCTTTAGATTTAAGTGGATTGGTTCATTGACAGAGCCGAAAATTGAAAATGACGAGATAATAATACGTTATGAAGGTGGTTTGTGTCAAAATTCAACTCATACAGAGATTGTGATCACCTTCAACTGTTCCAAGACACAGGAACCTCTAAAATTATCAAAAGAAACAGTTTGTCGTGCAGATTTTACATGGAACACACCTTTGGCATGCAAACACAAAGTGCAACGCTCACTAAACTGCAATGTTGCTGTGCCCAGTGGAGAAATCATCGATTTTGGTAAAATTGACATCAGAACCAGACATTTTCATGTCGAACAAGCTGAAATGATATACGATGTTGATCTGTGTTCGGATAATGTACTTCTATTGACTAATTCAACACAAACAGGTAAATTTTTATCATTTTAAGTTGTAAAGTATTAAATGTGTTGTTTTTACCTATAGAAAGTGGAATAATCAACACCACAAGATATTTAATTGAAAAGGAATGTCAATATTCAATGATTTACAAGTTTACGAAGAAGATACAATGTCTTGAAAGCATAAAAGTTAATTTATTATGCAATGAGATTGATAACAATCCAGATCATCTTGATTTACCTACAGATTTGAATAATCAGTCCAATTGTCCAAGTGAGTTTGTAATCTCATTGAAATCTTCGTATATTTGTGATGTTATTCAGTGTAATAAGAATAAGAAGACAGAAATTCAGAAAGACACTGAAAAATACACAAAAACAAAGGATGTAGAAGTTTCTACATGTAAAATTGTTAATACACATCAAAATAAGAAAGATTTTTATATCAATGACCTGAAACCATTGATAAACAAGAAAACAACCGTTGTTTATACGCTTGGAAGCACAAAGAAGCTTAAAACCTGTGATGGATTCGTTTGTAAGAATAATTTAACTTTAGCAACGCTCGAAATCTGTCCAAGTAGTAATTTAATACAAAAAGAAAAGACATTGCAGCTATTTTTGATGGGACCTAGTTGTAACAAAGGTAAATCAATGTATTTTACTATATTTCACATTATTAATGTATATATTTCAGATTATTATAAAGTGAAACTTAATTTGCACTGCGCAAGCACCAAGACTGAAGAAACGTTCGAATTACTCAAAGATGAAGAGTGTTCTGCTGAGTTTCAGGTAGAAACCAATGATGTTTGTGTTTTATTCGATGAAGTTATCACTTCGACATCACAGGGTAATGTTACAGGTAAATATACGTCATAAAACATGGTTATGTTATTAATCTGTGTATTTTTAGGTTATATTTTAGGATTACTTTCCTGCTTGATTGTTTTGATCATTGCAGTCTTAATTTGGAAGTATAGGTTGTGCACTGGTAAATTATCTTGTAGAGATTCGAGTTACAGCCCAACTCAATCAACTCTTTTGTATGTGAAGAATGATTAATCAAAAATCATCAAGCTGTATGGAAATTTTGATGACATGAAGGAGGTTTTGAGTCTTTTTATGTTTTGTTTAATTGATTAATGTGTTCCTAACTAATTTGTACTTATTTTTAATTGTTTTATGTGTAAGTTGATAGACATAACCTATAATGGACGCAACAAGGTAAAAACAAAGTTAAAATGCTACTAAAAGTGACAAAAAGCATGAATTCTGTCCGAAAATTCATCTTTAAATATACTTTATTTATTTATCATCGTATATACACCGTAATTGTCTTTTCATTATGCAGGAGAAGCTAGAAAACGTGGAAGAAACAAGTGGGTACTCAAGAAACAATATCACGGATTTATTCCACAGTAATAAGATGAAAAATACGTAAATTGCAAGCCCACTCATAAAAACCACAATAATCGCCAACAACCAACGCTCCGGAGTCTATCGATTGTTGATTCAGTGATGACGTCATCATTAATCGAAGAAGTCACTTATTACCGGCTAGAGAAACAAATTAAATAAATACGGCTAATGAATATTGTGTTACAGCGTATTTCCGTCAGTTCATAGGTGGGCATTGTTTAGTTTCGGTGCTAAGCTGCAATAAAAACCATCCGGCACGTTCCCAAAAAAGGGACACGCGCCAATTAATGTCTTAAGATGTTTGCTCATCGCGACGCGTCCGCCACGTAGCTAATAAAGGTAGAAGTAGAAGATAAATGCAAAATGAAAGTTTGGATCAATGCCGGTCTACTACTAATATATTTTCATCTTTATTCACTTTGGTATGTATATTATAGTATTGTTACAACTGAATGGTAAATGTAATGGTAATTTATTGGACATTGACTAACACTAACGCTACAACAAGTCTACGAGAAGCTTTTCAACATTGTCTGGATCTAAGCGCAACTCATACACGAATGCAGTCTTATTTCATTATACATTTTCTGTTTTAGTTTTATTTTTTGAGGTTATATATGTGATTATGTGAACATAACCAAGTTGGAAATGATTGAAATTTGTGGAATTTAAGGTTAGGTAATTATCCCCAGCGTAGTGGTTGTCCGGATGGGCGCGAGAATGCGCGCGTTTCCGCGCTGACCATTTCGAAATCATTCGCGGAGGCGGCAGCGGCCGGGGCGGGCGCATATAGGGATCTATTGATGTTGCGTATTGAGGTGCGTTGCTTGCTCAATGAATTGAATGGTTTCCAGCGTGTTAGCATTGAGAAGCCGCGCTTGCGATATGCGGACGATGCCCAAACGTCGTTTCTTATATTGGTTTTGTCTGGGGGGTGGAAATTGCCGCCACGGGGGTAGTGATGTTCAATGCGGCGTTGTTGTGGGTAATCAAAGTCGGACATCAGTAGTGATATCATGTCGCTGTCGATTTCTGGTGGGGTGATGTTTGGGGGTTGGTCGGGGGCGGCGGGACGCGTTGACGAGAATGATATCCAGGTGATTAGAAGTAATAGTAAGTGCCATATCTGGAAATTTGGTTTAATGCGGTTTGTTTTATTGTTGGGGGGGGGGGTGTTACTTACATGTAGTTTATCCATTGCAGGGCCGGGGGTGTGTTCAGAGAGATTGGTTGGTGATCTTTAGGCCATGCAGGCTACTGAAATGTAAAAAAAAATTTTTATTTGCGTTAGTTGGGTAGTTTAGGTGTGAGTGTATTTTGATTGCGATTATCTCGGAAACTAAAAGAGATAGCGACTTGCGGTTTGAAGGATATGAAAGATTGGAAAATTCTCTATTAGGTGAGAATATAAAATAATTTTATTTCTTGGGGTAAAAGGTCTTAAAACGCGGCTAAAAATGTTAAAAAGTGAAATTTTTGATTTTTGTCCATTTTTCAATTGCGTTTATCTCGTAAACTAAAAGAGATAGCGACCTGCGGTTTGAAGGATATGAAATCCAATCTTTCTCTATTATTCTCTATTAGATGAAAATATATAATAATTATGTTTTGAGGGGTAAAAAGTCCAAAAACGCGACTGAAATTCCTAAAAAATTAAAATTTTCAATTTTTGCCCATTTTCTTCAATTGCGAATATCTCGTAAACTAAAAAAGATAGCGACCTACGGATTGAAGAATACGAAAGATGGGAAAATTCTCTATGAGGTGAAAATATAACCTAATTAAATTTCCTGGTCAAAAAAGCTTAAAATGCTAAAAAGTACAATTTTTCGTGTCTTTCTACTGATTCTACACAAATAACTGCAATACAAATGTTTTAACCTAATTCAACCTAACAAAAGTCATATTTATACACTATAGTACTACCTATAAAACTCATCAAAGATATGACATTTTGTTTCAACTGTAAATTGTCACCGTCTTATGACATTTACGCGCAGAGAAAGAAAAATGGAAGCCTCGAGCCTCCCGGCGTCATTTCCTCACGCGCCGCGCACGCTTCAATTGGATTCGTGCAATCAGGATGCGATTTACTAAACACTCGCCTCACTTCTTCACCAGCGTGAGTGAGAGTTAACTTAGTTTTGCAATCAAAAATGTCAGCGGCACAGCGCAAAAAATGCCACGACGATGCGCATCTCGTAATTCAATCTCGTGAAAATTAACGTTTTATTGTTTAAGATTAAGATTTAATTTGCGCACGGTAAAGATGAAATTTTCACAATTAGTATTCACAATAGAATTTAATTACGCGCACCTTATCAGGGCTTATCTTGCGATAACAAATTGTTAACGTGAAAAACCATTGTGGGTGTATGTGTGTGTGTGTGTGTGTGTCCTTGTATTTTTGGTGTCCTTAATTGATTTATAAATTACGCTTGAGTTTTCGGCGGGTGTCTTTGTTTGGTGTTTGTTTTGGTTTTACTTCAGTCGGTCATTAAATTAGGGTCACGCCTATTTGTTGCGCTTCGCTTTCACGTGATTACGTGATTCGTGCTGTGCTGGGCTTTTGCTAATTGGAGCTAACACGCGATACAAAACGTAATGCAATTGAATATTTGTGATGAAATAATTAATTTGTGACTTGCACTTGCATGATTGATAAAAAAAAATAAATTTTTTCTGAAAAATTGCAATTTTTAAAAAAAAATTATAATTTTTTTCATTTTTCTTTGGAATATTTGATATGAAATAGTAAAATATAAAAAATTGAATCAATTTATTCATGTCCCATGTGTAATTTGCCGTTTATTGTTAAAATATTTCAATTTTTCTTTTCTTTTCTTTTGTTGTGTGCTTTTGGGAAATTAGAATAATGCTTGAGGGATTTTTGCGTCTTTAATAAAAATATTCGTGATGCATTAACATAAAATAAACCGAAACAACGCAGAAATGTGTCATGCGGGGGTGTAAACTGGATTAGAGTGCAGATTTTATTAAACTTTTTGATACAACGCGAGTCAGAGATGAAATTATCGATAAAAATGTGAAAATTGCTTTTAACGCAATAATAGTTACAATAATAACAATAATAGGTAATTTGTTTATGCTTCACACATTAAACCGGCTAATTAATGTATTTTATAGTGAGAAATTCAATTAAATAAATAATTAGAAGTAAATAAATACAATTATATGAAACAAAACACTTAAAACTATTAATTACAAGTTAAAAAGTATTTATTATACTATTATTTAATTATATCTAGTAGGGAAATAAATTATTGTTGGTACAATCAATAAATATTATTGATTATTCAATTAAAAGTAAATTTTGGTACAAATTTAGTGAAAAACGCGAATTTTTCACGAATTTTATACAAAATACACATTAATTATTAAAGATAATTAACTTATGCGGTATATAGTTTATAGAATGTGTAATTATCTATCAACTAAAAAAAGAATCACGTTTTTATCTCTATTTTTACCAAAGTTACAAACAATTTTACTTGATTCAATGAATAATCAGTCAAATGTCTGTCAAAACACATTTTTGACAGATATATGACACTTGAGGTTAAGTTCAACCTAAACCCTTGTCATAAACATAACCACACTTTAATATTACACGATAAAAATGTAAATAAATAATAATACGCGTTGTTTTTGATGAAATTTTCATTAAATCCAAACGATTTGTTGTGTTTTAAAAGATGATCGTGTTTTTCATTTGTTGTGTTTGACTAGAGCGCGTGTAAACGATAAAAGCGTGACAATGAAAAGACGGCGTCAAAAGAATAGTGGAGATTTTCCCCTCGGCGTTTATCACATCACCCTCAGGCGTTTATTGTGTTCGAGTGTCATTAAAAGCGAACAATGATTGAAGATTGAATACAGCAAGCTTCTAAGCGTGAAAAAATGATCAAATCATATTGTCACAGCATAAAAATACAATTTCTAAGGAAACATCACGTGAAATTAGTTAAAATGTAAAAAATCTACCAGAATTTATAAATTTAAGGTTAAGTTAGGTTAAAATTGAATAGAAATGATTTTTTTTATTCAATTTTGTTCATTTTTTTGATTTTGTAATGAAAATATTTGTTTTTCAAATCAGTTTGAAAGGTGTGGATTGATGCGTGATGCGTGATATTAATTAAATTTCACCTTTTCACTACCGCAACTAATCAAAATGCACGCATTCATATTTATGAGCAATCATAATGAATGAAACATTGAAACTCCATTTGATTAATGTATAGTGCATGAATGTGAAAAGTGTGTTGCCTATGTCAACAGAAGTTGTACAAATCCAAACAAAACACACACAGCAACCCACACAACATAAATATCAACTCTAATAGGACTTGACATATGGATATAAATATATTTGCATGCGAATTCAATAAGATATCAATGAAAACACGCGTAACAAGGTGAATGATGGATGAAAGGTGTAACGATGGTTGCATATATGTTACTTCCGTTTCAGTTTCCATCTTTTGGCACTTTTAAGGATTCCCAAAGATACAAACATATAAAAAAGGAAAGTGGGTCATTTTTTCTGTATACACTGAGTGTTGCAAATGTTTATTTTTATTTTATGCTGTGGAAGATCAAAGGATCAAAGTAATATGTTATCGATGGTTGGCGGTGGCGTGAAACCGCATCAGAGAATCAGAAAACGTATGTCGGGCATGTTTGACGTTCACTTGGATTTTATTACTATCGCCTACGGCTCTTTTCAACCCTCATCCCTTAACATTTTCACTCTGTAATACGCTTTATAGTTATTCGTATCCTGATTTTACGCATACGGAGTGTGATTGTGCAATAAGTTGTGTTTTAGGTGTTTTATAACAAATATTATTTGTTATTATGTATTTTATTTGATGGGA